GGAAGAGAGAGAGAGAGAGAAGGAGGGAGGGAAAGAAAGCACCCCAACGGGCATTGTCGTTTCCCCCCCATTTCTCCATCCTTTTGAGATTTGGGGCACGCACACGCTCTCTCTCTCTCACACACACACGCATGCACACACACACACACACACACACACACACACACAGAGCATGTTTTTCAAACCACAGGGGTTGGGATTTGAACCTCAGTCAGCCATATGGGATCGGCTACCAATACATAGCACTTAGCCACTGTGCTATGGAGCCAGCCCCCAACTTGTCTATTTCAAAGAAGCATTTCTGTGACCTTAGCTGTTCCCTAGCCCTCGTGCTTCTTTTTGCACCTCCCCATTCCTCTCTGAGCACTAGCTCTCCTGCCGTCCTCTGCTTCCCAAGGCCCTCCTTCGTTGTCCCTCATTTTGCCCGTGTATTAGCGATTTAGTGCTAATAGCAGTTCATCTCCAAATAAGCTTGTTTTCCTTGTTTGTTCCTTTTTTTAGAATGATTTATTTATTTTGATTTATCATTGTTACTATTTTTAAATTTACTAAATGCACTCACCAGAAAGAGACAGAGAGAGAAAGAGAGAGAAAGTAAGAAAGCAAGCTGCCAGGTCCGGAACTTGAACCACAGTGGGCCATGTAGGAATCTAGCTTGTTCTCATTGGTTGTTTCTTTTCTTTTTAGAATTTTGAATTTTATTTTACTTATCACGATTCTTTTTTTAATTTGCTATACGTGCTCAACAAAGAGAGAGAGAGAGAGAGAGAGGGAGAGAGGGAGAGAGAGAGAGAAAGATAGCAAACCCCCAGGTCTAGGACGAATCCGGTCAGCCGGGTTGTAGGACTCCAGCGCCCCAACCACCATGCCACCTGCTAGACCTTTCCTTGGTTGTTTCTTCAGAATTTTTTAAAGGAAAGTATCAGAAAGAGTGACTTCCGATGTAGCCTCTGGTGGCGCTCAGTCAGCCCCTACACAAGTGCTACTCTGGAGAGGTTTCGGTTTTGTTTCGTTTTGCCTTGGTGCTCGCCCTTGCCAGAGAGAGAGAGACAGAGACAGTGAGTGAGAAAGTGAGAAATCACCCCCAGGGGATGCCCACCCCTCAGTCCCTTCTTTATTCTCCTCTCAGGATCTCCGGCGCTCATGCACACGTGGCCAGCATGAGTTTCAAGCCACGGGGTCAGGAACTCAGACCACAGCTGGCCACGTGGGGGTCCAGTGAGGTAACCACCACGCTATCAGCTGGCCCCAGATTTTTAAAGGTTCTTACTCGTTTTTGTTTTATTTTGTTTTGTTTTGTTCTTTTCCTGTCTACTGGGAACATACCCCCAAGCAGTTTCTTTAAGCTCTTGTTTCTAATCATCTGCTGTGAAAACCCCCCCTCCCTTATTTTTTTCTCTGTAGATTGAGGGAATTGTCAAATAGCGATATATTCACCTAACCTAAATGAAATGCATATTCATAGAAATAATGAGACCACGTATGCTGTAGCAGTGGCACTTTTTTTTTTTTAAGTTTAATTATTTCTTCCATAAACAAGAGGGAGAGCAAGAGAGAGAGAGAGACGGCCTCCCGACGGGGTCCTGGTGCTGCATCGTCCCAGCCTTCAGTCAGCCCCAGGCCAGGGCGTGTGCGTGCCCGGCCCACTCAGGCAGACGTCTGGCCTGAACCCTGACTCTTCCTGTGTAGGATCGCCTTGCCTTTTAACCACTGCGCCCCCCACCCCCCAACCACTGTAGCATTTTGACATTTAATAACTTAGAATCTGAAAGCACCAGACTGTCCTGGAACAAAGACACAGGACCTGGAGGTGACATAGCTGACACTTTTATGCTCTCTTCTGCCATATGATCGCCTAAGCATGAGCAAAGGCGTAGTACAAACAGCACAGCCGGTGACGGCAGAGGAGCTGGGTTTTAAAACTTTCCCAATATAAGTAAAACCAGCCTGGCATCCAGGTACGCGTGCACCTGTCTTCACCGGTTGATGTTAAACTTGCACGCATGCTAGCACCGTTCCGCTGCGGCCCTCTAACCCGCTGTGTGGTGTGCAGGGATATACTGTCAGTCACTGCACGTTTACCGTTTGTATCCCTCACTGTGAATTGATCGCTGCTGTTTATGACCTCCAGAGAGCTTGCAAACATCTTTGGCTCTAGCTAAAGAATAGCAAAACGGCTGAGCTCTGCCCACTCAGCCGGTGCTACTCATCCTCAAAAGGAAGTTGCGAGGGTGGCCACTGGGCCTGTGAAAGGGCCTGTCCGACACTGTCCTCCTGTGCAGTCTGAGACAGGCCCTGTTGAATCCCTGACCGCTCAGAGCCCACGTTCTTCTGTGCTTCTATTACATGAGCTCTTTAAGTAACTTTTTCCCTGAAATAAGTCTTAAGAGAATGAACTATCGAAATTTTTAAAAATTCCCATCTGCCCCTTATCTAGTCTTGAATTCACAAATGGCAAGTAGGCGCCTGAATTCTAGAGTGCGGGTACACAGCCGCCCGAAGCACGCCGCTGCCCCGTCGTGTTCCCCTTGGCCAGATTTTCTTACCTTTTCCTTCTCAGCCGCTGTGTTGAAATACGAAAACAACATCATGAACATCAGGCAGTTCAACTGCTCTCCACACCCCTACTGGCTTCCCAACTTCATGGATGTCTTCACGTGGTCTTTGCCTTTCGTCGGGGAGAAAGGTGAGAGAGCAAAAGCGTAGCTCGTCCTGTGACCTAGTGCATTGCTGCGTTTGCATGAGCGTTTCCGTGACACTTGGAAATGTTTTCCAGTTCCATTTGTCTTCTTCACTGGTTTTCTTATCCATGTAAATGAGCCGTTCCACTACGATCAAGATGTTCAAAACGCATAGCCACTGTCCCGTTCCCTCAGTGGTTTCAGCGCTACTGCGATGGATTGTCCTCAGAGTCGTATCTGTCACTATACAGCTGAGCTGTGCAGACACAGGCCTGCTGCACCAGGCTCGTTGGCTTGACTTCTTTGTAAAATGGGAAGACATTTTTCTCATGTGCTTACAGTGAGGAAAAGGTTCTGAGTGACACTCTAATAAAATTGAGCAACTATACAATAGAATCTCGAAGACAGCTGGCTTTTACTGGAGCGAGGGATCTACCCAAATCACATTTATTTATGAATTGCCAACAGGCACATGAGAGAGAGAGAGAGACAGAGGACCCCTTCCCGTCGACGTGCGGTCATGCTCCGTTTCTCCTTCCTGCTGGGATCTTGAGCTCACACGCACACATGCCCAGGGTGTTCCTGAGGCTGCCGAGGCCAGCGTCCCGTTGCAGTCAGCCATGTGGGTTCCCTAACCACAGAGCGCAAGCACTCCTTACAGACCGGCCTCCACCCATGGCCTCCTATACCCGGAAGTCCACCCTGAATGCTATTCTTAACGTCATAACGAATAATTTGTGTCTATGTTTGTTTCATATGTATGGTATGGTTAGATATCTACATTATTTTGGAGAAAGAGCAAAATTAATTTTGTAACTTTTGGATTTTGTCTTGTCACGTAGTCACAGAGATGCTGGTTAACATTCTCAACATTTGCTCGGATGATGAGCTGATTTCCGATGATGAAGCAGAAGGTAAACTTCTCATTTCAATTAGAAATTAAGGAGAAATTTGGTTCGACTTTTAGTTTATTTTGGGCAACTTTCTTTGTCTTACTAAAAAGGAATTATATTCATTATAGAAACATAAAATTTGAAAAATTCAGGAAAACATGAATAAGGAAAATAGTTACCTACACTCCTACTATGTCATGGATGTCTGCTGTTGCTGTATACTATGTGAGCTGTTTTTATCTTGGTGTATATATTTTCCTCTTTTTTTAAACAAAAATGGTGTCATGTAATAAATTGTATTTACTTTTTAAAGAATTATTTTATTAAATTTCATTTATTATTATTTTTTTTAATTTGACCAGAGAGAGAGAAAGTGAGAAATCAAACTACCAGATCTGGGACTCAAAACACCGCCAGCTGGGACCAGCAGTTGGCATAATGGCTATGTCGCTGGACTCCCATGTAGTTGACTGTGGTTCGAGTCCCGGACCCGGTGGCTTAAACTCATGCTGGCCGTGTGTGCGTGTGTGCCCAAGATCCCAAGAGGAGAATAGAGGAGAAGGGATTGTGGCATGGCCATCCCCCCCGGGAGTGATTTCTCGCTTTTTGTCTTCCTGGCGAGCACATGCACCCTATAGCAAAAATCTCTCAAAAAAAAAATTAAAATTAAAATTAAAAAATTAAAAAATAACCACCACCAGCCATGAGGGAGTCCAGCACTCCAACCGCCATGCCACCTGCCGGCCCCAACTACATTTGCTTGTTAAAAAAATATTTGCATCGTTTCTAATGGCTCCGTAGTTATCCATGTTGCTTGCTCTTTGTTTCTAACGAATCCCGTGCTGTGGGGTATTGGATTGTTTTTCCCAACTTTTCATTTTCCAAACCCCTATCATTTTGAAAATTCATATAGATAATCTGCACATTCGGTCAACGACCTGTGTTTATCACACCTGTGTTTATCACATGTCCGATGTATCCCAAGCACTTTCGGTCTTGTTCTCAATAGCCTTCCACTCTAAGGTAGGGAAGACAGATAATGAATACATATAAATCAACTAGTGATACGAGCTATGGGAGAAAGTAAAGCAATACTAGAGGTTCAAGATTATTTCCATGGATACATTTCTAGAAACTGAATATTGGTATTGATTAGTACTTCAACTTTTAAATCTGAAGCAGGTAGCCTTAGAAAGGCTATACCAGCTTACATTCTGTGCATGTGTGGTACCTAGCTCACATAATTCACCGTCCTCTCTCTAGTGATGTTTGTTTAATTTTTTCTTAAACATTTGTTTATTTATCTATGTGTTTATTGTCATTTTCAAACTGCCAGGTCAGGACTTGAACTGTGGTTGGTCATGTGAGAATCCAGTGCTTTAACCACCATACCACCCACTGGCCCTCTAATACTATTTATTTATATTTGCTATAGTCTTGTGTTTTTATCATTCTTTTTTTTCGGTTTTTGCTGTAGGGCACATGCACTTGCTGGAGAGGGACAGAAAAGAAAAGTAAGCAATTCTACCTCCCAGAAAGAATGGTCATGCCATAGTTTCTTCTCCTCCAGACTCCTCTCAGGGTACTGGGCACACATGCATGTGTACCGAGTGTGATTTTTAAGCTGCCAGGTCCAGGACTCGAACCTCATAGCCAACCATGTGGGATCCAGCCTCTTTAACCTCCACACCATCTGCTGGTCCAAGTGTTTCTTAAATTTTAGTTGCTATTTTTTATGATGACTAGTGAATATTTCTTTTTGTGTTCATTGGCCACGTTTCTCTTTTGTGACTTATTAATTCATGTTGTTTTATCAGTTTTCTACCGGGGTATGTGCATTTTTTTTCTTCTTCTTCTTGACTTGTGAGTAATCTTTATTTGGTAACATTTTCTTGTATACGAAGCAAAATATTTTTTTTCCTAGTGTTTTATGAGAGATTTTATTTTAAATATTGGTTCTAATTTGTCTGAGAGTGTAGGAAATTCTGGAAAGGTGGTGGTCACTTGAGCCCAAACCCCTCACTGTCTTTCTGGTAAGGTGATTTACTCAGCTGTTGGAATAAACTGTCTCTGCAGTGAGGAATGCCTTGCTCACTTGGGGAACTGCGAGGAAATTCCCGCACATGCTGTGCTTCAGGTTCCCCAAGTGAGCAGACGGACATAGCTCATGAGAGCTGGGGCACTGGACCTTTGTGCTGTTGAAAAGCCACATGTAACATTTGATTCCCCCAAAAACATACTGCTAGAAATGGTGGGCAACCACAGCCGTGGGCCTAATCTACACTCCACATCACAAAGTCTGACTTTGTGTTGTGACTCTTCTCTGCTTCTTGGGAGCACGTCCATTACCACTTGTGGCACTTTGTATGGGTCTTGTGTTATTCACACACATATATATACACACACACACACATATATACGTACACACACATCTCTATGAGAGCCGTGGGAGAGCGCTGGTCTCCATGGTACATGATTGGCTGGAGAGGTGAACTGCTCACGTGGAGATGGTTAGCATCATGCAGTAGGAGATAGCTACAAGCTGAGGTGGTACAGTATGCACTACAGTTCATTTTATGCGGTTAGGATTGAAAACTGCATTTTTACATTTGTTTATAGTTCTCTAAGCTGCCAAGTTTTTTTAGATTAGTGCATATCCTTCCCAAATTGTCCATTGCATATATTGGAAAAAATCTGCATATATGTGGACCCATGCAATTCAGATCCATGGTGTTCAAGGTCAGCTGCATCTTTACGAGATAAGAGGGCAATACAAGGAACTAGATTTTCTGGAGGAAATAAAACAGCCCAGTAACAAATTGAACGAAAGAAAAAGTTTAAGTTAAGGGAAGATGAAATACATAAGAAATAGGTCTATTAAAATTTACATTCTGGGACTAGCAGTTGGCGTAATGGCTATGTTACTGGACTCTCATGTAGTCAACTGTGGTTCAAGTCCCGGACCTGGCGGCTTGAACTCACACCAGGCATGTGTGTGTGCATGCCCAAGATCCCAAGAGGAGAATAGAGGAGAGGGATTATGACGTGGCCATCTCCCCTGGGGGAGTGATTTCTCACTTCCTGTCTCTGTCTTTCTGTGTCTTTCTGGCAAGCACATGTGCCCCATAGCAAAAAAAGAAAAAGTTAAGAGCGTGTGTTCATCAAAAGATTCTCTTGGTCCAACTGGTGGTATGGTGGTTAAGGCACCTGGTTTCCACATGTTCAACTATGGTTGAAGTCCTGGACCCAGCAGCTTGAAAAACATGCTGGGTGCCTGTGCACATGTGATAAAATCCCAAGAGAAGAATGGAGGAAGAGGAATTGTGGGGTGGTCATCCTACCTGTTGGGGGATGTGCTTTCTCACCAACCCCCGAGCTCTCTCCAGAGAGCACACGAGCCCTAGAGCAAAATTTTAAAAGTACATTCTGTTCAGCATGTGAGAAGACAAGCTATACGATGGGAGAGGGTATCGCAGCACAACCGAAAGGCCTATTTGCAGAAGATATAAAGGACCATATATCAATAAGATGAGATTTGTACAAGAACTTCGCAAACGAGGGTTGCCAAATGGCCAGAAAAAACATGCAGATATTTAATTACATTGATAATCATGAGGATGCATAAAAATTGAAACCACAGTGGAATGATACTACATACCTACCAAACTGACTAAAATGAAAAGATGAATAGTACCAGGCCAGCATTTGTACCCATAGGAATGCTCACACCTTGAAGCAGAAATTGGAACAGTGATCTACTTCGTAGATAATACCAAACTGTTTTCTAAATTTGAACATAGACATACCCGGTAACTGAGCAGTCTAATCCTAGGAATATGCTTAACAGAAATATATCCATTTTTGCAGCAAAGAGAGATATACAGGAATACTCACAGTAATCTAATTTGTAATAAAATATTATTATCACCCCAAATGACCATTGACAGAAAAAAGGATAAGTTGCATCATATTCATATAGTGGGATAATATATGATAATGAAAATGAGCCACAGCAATGGGGAAGACGTGATGAATCTCACAGACATAATTTTAAGCAAAGGAAGCCAGATCAAAAAAAGTACACACTTATTTGTTCCAGTTACATGCAATTATAAAGCCATGAAAATGGTAGTGCTTATGAATGATGCATACTTTTATGGCAAAACTATAAAGAACAGCAAAAAAGTGATTTCAGGGACCAGCAGATGGTGTGATTATGTCACTCCCACATAGTTGACCATGTTCGAGTCTTGGACCTGGTGGCTTGAAACTCATGCCGGGTGCATGTGCGTGCATGCCCAAGATCCCAAGAGGATGGAGGAGAAGGGATTGTGGCGTGGCCATCCTCTCGGTGTGTGTGTGTGTGTGTGTGTGTGATTCCTCGCTTTCTGTCTCTATGTCTCTTTCTGTCTCTCTGGCGAGCACATGTGCCCTATAGCAAAAATCTCTCTTTAAAAAAAATGTTATTTCAGTAAATGTCAAGAGAATGATTTCTTTGGAGAGAAGAGAGACTATGTAATACGTATTAGGATAGGCCCAAGGGTGGCTTCTGGGATGCTGGCAGTGTTCTACTTACTGACCTGAGTGGTGGGTATATGGACATTTGCTTTTTAATAGATCATTGAATTTTACATTTGTTCTGTATACGTTTCTGTATGTTTCTTATACTTCACAATAAAATGTTTTTAAAATGGGGAGGTTTTGGTAGGAATTTGTGGAAGCTGGAAACAAGGCATTAGTAGTATTGACTTAGCCAATTCAGGAAGGCTGAACTCCAGCTCGGTAACAGGGGATGCCGAGTTCAGGCACAGAATCCTGCCAGTGCGAAGGAACTGTGAAGTACAGGCAGGGCAGGAGCAGGAGCTGTTTGAAAGGCAGTTAAGGTGGTAGCCAGAGGGTTTCTGGACTGGGGACCTGTTGGGGGGTGTGAATTAAGTGGCCATATACATACTTCCCTAACAAAGGTCAGCTCTGTGGTTTACCCTCAGTGTAAAACCCAGTCAGCCACCACCCACCAGCTCTGAAAGCTTTGGAGCCCCTCAGTCCTGATCTTAAGTAACGCTGAGGATTATCACCAGACACCTGAGGAAAGTGTCTAAGAGACAAACAACAAAATAGCAAACAGTGGGACCAGCAGATGGCATAATGTTTATGTCACCAGACTCCCACTTAGTTGACCGCGGCTCCAGTCCCAGACCCGGCAGCTTGCAACTCATGCAGGGCGTGTGTGGATGTGTGCCAAAAATCCAGGAGGAGAATGGGGGAGAAGGGATTGCAGCATGGCCATCCCCCCCCCCCGGGGGGGTTAATTTTTTTCTTGCTTTCTGTCTCCCTGTCTTTCTTGTGAGCACATGCACCCTATGGCAAAAATCTCTAAAAAAAAAAAAAAAAAAAGCAAAAAGCAACTTGAATGAATTAATTCTGAAGAACATTTAAAACTTAGAAAAGGAAGATCTATAGTACCCCTAAAGGATAATGTATTGAATCCATTATACAAACGCATAATGTTCAGGCCAGCTTAGGGTAGTTAGGGTGACTGGATCCCACAGGGCTGGCTGTGTAGGTCAAGTTCCAGACCTGGCAGCTTGAAGGTCACTCCTGGCAGCTCGAAGGTCACATGTGCATATGTGCCCAAGATCCCGAAAGGAGACTGGAGGGAGGACTGCAGCATGGCCATCCTCCCAGGAGGTGATTTCTCACGTCTCTCTCTCCGTCTCTCCAGTGAGTGCATGCGCCTTATAACAAAAACTAAAAAACAAACAAACCCACAAAAAAACTCACAATGTTCTTAGTAAGAGATTTGTAAAGTGTCTGTTCTGCACGTCGTTTTTCGTTTGTTTCTGGCATCATTTGTGGGACAAAGGATATCTTTTTCATTGCTTAATGTTATTTTCATCATATGTGGAGGTAGAAAATGTTGTGTACTAATAGACGTGGATTCATGTAAAACTATAAATGTTTAAGAAATGAAAGAGAAATCTAACGTTCTGGCCTGATACCAAGGATGTCCCTTACGAGCCAGTAACGGTGGCAGCCTGCTTCTCTCATTGCATTTCACTTTGATTTTTTTCTCTCTGTCATGCAAACTTAAATTTTTCTTCTCATATCTCTATCTTCATCTCCTTCTTTCTTGGTGTCTCTTCTCCCTGAAGACCACTACATTTCAAGCTATCAGAAAGGTATCCGACTAAAATGTGCTAAGAGCTTAATACTTGCTGTCTGTCCCACCGCAATCTACTGGTAGTTGTAGTTTCAGACAGGCTGTCCCTCCACCCTTTCCATTTTGGTGTGTCCGTTTTCCCCGGCCCTGCTGCATGATCCAGCAGGGTTTTGAGAGCCGGACGGGGGGAGAGAGGCTGTGTTTCTTCTGACTTTTGAATGCCATCACCTGGTGCATGCCTGGCCCTTGACTTCCCACGTGTGGGCTACTTCCTGAATCTTTGGTGAGAAAAAGCCGTGAAGCTTTACGTAAACTTCGTGATGCTGCTTTTTAAAGCACTTCAGCCACCCTCGTCATTCGTACTGCGCCATTGTGGACAGTACTGGGGGAGTAACTCAGCCGTGTGCTCAAGTGAGGTCGTAGCACGTGAGCAGCCCTCACCAGGTCAGGAGAGCTAGCTGGGCCCACGTGTCCTGGAGGAGTCCGCTGCTCGTACATCACTTGCCGTGTGGCAGGCCAGACCCTGCATCCTAAGGTGGCCACAGCATTCTCAAAAGAGAGCTCAGCTGTAGCACTTTGTGAGGTTCGTGTGTGCGTGTGTGCGCGCGCACGTGTGTGTGTCTCATCCCTCACCACGTTCTATGTTCAGAACCACAGATGAGCCCCTGCCTCTCACAGATCCACCCCATCTGTCTTCTTTTGTGGCCCCTCCATCCTTTGCCTCATTGTTTTTTCCTTCTTTCTTTCTTTCTTTTTTTTTTTTTATTCTCTTGCACCTTAGGACTTCTTGGGATTTTTGTTTGTTTAAACACAGTTAGGCTTTGATTTCTTCTTTTTTTAAATGCAATAGTTTCTTTAACTTAAGTAAGAAATACACTGTATCCCGCGTTTTTAAAAGCCACCCTGTTACCGTGCTTCTGTACTCACCCGTACTTTGTATTCTCTAAGGAGGCTCTTCGATCCGTAAGGAGGTCATCAAGAATAAAATCAGAGCCATTGGGAAGATGGCCCGGGTCTTTTCGATTCTTCGGTAAGGACAAGTCCGTCACAGTGCGGGAAAGGCAGAGTAAGTTAGAAGCTGGTTGCACCACGGCTCTTTTAGAATGGCGATTTGGTGTTAGAACTGCATCTTCAGGTGAGGGTAGATGGACTCAGGCCTGCGTGTTAAAGTGACAGTGCTCTGCCAGACACTCACTTGGCTCCAGCTTAGATGCAGTGAACGCAAATGCTGCAGGGCTTTGTGGGCTTTGGAGCCAGAGCGCCTGCGACCAGATGCAGCTCCACCACATCTGGCTGTGTGGGCCGAGGAATCCCTGCTTCATTTTCCTTGTCTGTGAGGCAGAGAGGTGAAGAGGCCCACGAGGTTGTTGGGTGGATTGAATGGGGTGATACTGGGTTGTGGGAAAGTCATGACACGTTTTTCTGTTTTGTTTTATTTTGTTTTGTTTTTCTGCAAAAATGGGTCATGACTTTTCCAATGGCCCAATATATGAGAAACGTTAGAACTGAGCCTGGCTGTTATGTGCCTTTAATTGGAAAACAAGAACTGGCCAAGTGTTTACAACTGGAGTATTTCCAGAAAACACTTCTTTCTTTGAGTCAGTCCTTTTCTTTGGGTGGAAAGAGGAGAAACTGTCCTCCCTTTGAGTATCTCTGGGTTGCTGGGTTGGGCACCCTGGTATTAACCCAGGGCTGTGGTCTTCCTTTGCAGGGAGGAGAGTGAGAGTGTGCTGACCCTCAAGGGCCTGACCCCTACAGGCACACTCCCTCTGGGGGTCCTCTCAGGGGGAAAGCAGACCATCCAGACGGGTGAGTACGAGGACGCTCCTTTCGTGGAAGGTGTGCACTTGTGACCTAGCAGGCGATGCCGAGTTAGGGACCGGGCGTTCTTTTGGAGCTACTAGAGCAGTTGCATGTCTGTCTGGAGGAAAGATGAATCTTGACCCTTACTTCCCTGCATACACAAAAACGAATTAAAAATGAATTATAACGTAAATGGAAAAGGCGAAACAATAGAACTCCTTGAAGAAAGTAAGATAGTAGCACACTTAGTGGGACACAAACAGTACTAACATTAAAAGAAAGAATCAGTAAATTGAATCTCATTAAACTTAAGACCTTCTTTTCATGAAAATACATGATTAAGGGGAAAAACGCAAGCTGCAGACTGGGAGACTTATAATGCATATGCCTGACAAAGGACTTGTTTTCAGAATTTATAAAGAACTATAAATCTTGGGCCAGCCAGTGGTGTGGTGGTTAAGGCAACTGGATCCCACAGGGCTAACTGCAGTTCGAGTCCCAGACCTGGCAGCTTAAGAAACATGCTGGGCATGTGTGCATGTTTGCCTATGTGCCTGAAATCCGAAGAGGAGAATGGAGGAGAGAGGGCTTCCGAGTGGCCATCCCCATGGGGCTCCTTTCTCACTTCCCCTGTGCTTCTCTCTCAGTGTGTCTGTCTCTCTCTGCCAAATACATGCACTCTGTAGCAATTTTTTTTAAAGAAGAAAAGAGAAAAAGAGAACTATAAATATTTTTTAAAAGCAAAAATCTTAAAAAGGATTGAAAGATTTTAACTGGGACTTGACAAAAGAAGTTATCGAAATGGTCAATAAGCATATGAAAAGATGCTTAATAAGGTTAAAGTAGTTCATCTGGGAAGGGGATGTTAAAAGCACCGTGCGATAACACTGCGTACTCACTAGAGCAGCTAAAATCAAAGCCCAAGGGTACCAAGTCTTGATGTGTTGTGCAGAGGTACGACTAGATCCATTGCTGAGGGGTGGGCTTGTAAGCTGGGTCAGTCACGCTGGCGACTCTGGGGCAGAAGAGCTAAAGCTGCGTCTACCCATAACCCAGTACTTTCACACTGATGCGTAGCCAGTAGAAACGAAGGGGTGTGCCCACCAAAAGGTGCACAGAAATGTTCCCTGCAGCTTAATGCCTAGTAGTCTCAAGCTGGAAACAACCCAAATGCCCGTCAGTAGCAGAACAGATAACTAAATTGTATTGCTGAGACAAGGGAATATACCCAGTAATAAAAGAATAACATATTACAGACAAATGCAACAACGTGGTCGAAGCTCACAGAGGTTACAATAAACTAAAAAGCTAGACACAAAAGAGCACATATGGTGTTTAAGAACAGGCAGACCAGACTAGCAGGTGGCAGGGTGGTTAAGGTGCTGAACTCCCATGTGGCTGATCACAGTTCAAGTCCCGGACCTGGTGGCTTGCTTTCTCACTTTCTCTCTCTCTCTCATGAGTGCACATGCTCTATAGCAAATTAAATAATAATAATTAATAAAAATTTAAAAAAATAAATAGGCAGACCAGGGTCAGCCAGTGGTGTGGTAGTTAAAGCAGCTTTCCGATCACAGTTCGAGTCCCAGACTGGTGGCTTAAGAAACACATTGGGCGCAAGTGTATGCACAGTAGAATGGAGGAGAAGCGTTTGTGAATGAGTTACAGTGAAGTAAAATCATGTACATAGGGGCCAGCAGGTGGTGTGGTGGTTGAGGGCGCTGGACTCCCACATGGCCAACCACAGTTCGAGTCCCAGACCTGATAGCTTGCTTTCTCACTTTCCCTTTCTCTCTCTTGCTCTCTCTCCCACTTTCTGTCTCCAGCAAGTGCACCTTAAAATTAAATTAAATAAAAATAATTTTTAAAATGTACGTGGAAATTGCAGCTCAAAGGAAAACAAAGTAAAGCCTGCCGTCAGCCACAAATTTGACTCCCTCCTTTCCAGTAGGCAAAACGAAGAGGAAAGCCGAGAATAGAGCAGAGCTCACAGAGACCACACAGTTTAAATCGGCTATAAACTGTACCACACCGGAACTGAAACCTTCATGGCACCCTCAAGAAAGAGAGCCATTTCCATAGGATGGGTGACAATATTTGGAGGCCATATGTCTCCTAAGCGACTCATATCAGAAAATGTTAGGAACTCTGGGGACCAGCAGTTAGTGTAATGGCTATGTCGCTGGACTCCCACGTAGTCGACCGCGGTTCGTGACCCGGACCCGGTGGCTTAAAACTCATGCCGGGCACGTGTGCGTGCGTGCCCAAGATCCCGAGAGGAGAATGGAGGAGAAGGGATTGCGGCGTGACCATCCCCCCTGGGGGGGGTGATTTCTCGCTTTCTGTCTCTTTGTCTCTCTGTCTGTCTGTCTGGCGAGTGCACGTGCCCTACAGCGAAAACCTCTCCCAAAAAGAAAGAAAGAAAGAAAGAAAGAGAGAAAGAAAGAAAATATTCGGAACTCTTACAACCGGATAATGGAAACACAACCTAAATAAAAAACCAGCAAAGAATCTGAATGAACGGTTTTCTAGTGGCCCATGAAGCGATGGTTACCTCGCTGGACATTTGAGAAACCCAGACCACACCGTGAGGGGACACCATCTTCACCCCCAGGAGGGTGGCCACGAAAGGAAGACAGCCAATGGGAGTACTGACGAGAATGTGGAGGAGCCGGGCCGCACCTGCTGCTGCCGGGAATGGGAAGTGGCGCCGCTCCTCTGGAGACTCTGCCAGTTTCCAAACCGTCCAACGAGGCACCCTGGAGCCTAGCTCTGTACCCGGGAGAGGGAAAGGAGTCCACCCAGACACACGCAGGTGTCCACGGAGGCATCCTTCATAGTAGCCGAAAACGAAACCACCCAACTCCACCAGCTGGATAGACCAGAGTGCAGTGTAGACCTGGGACACCATGGAGCCTTAGAAGGGAATGAAGTGTGGGTACAAAGTCAGCATGAGCCAATCGAACTCATCATGCTGAGGAAAGAAGCCCGTCACCCCAGACCACGTAATACAGTATCCCGTGTACATGGAATACCCACAGACTGGGGGGGTGGGGGGGCTGGGAAGTGGCTGCTGAGGCATGTGGGTTCTTTCTGGGAGGAGGAAATGCCAGACACAGCTGTGCCGATGACTACTTACGCTCCCTTCGACCTGCACACACTGAACAATTGGGTTTTACCGTGGATGACGAAAGATGCTAAAAAGAAAAACACACTTTATTGACTGCTGCTTCTAAGCCCTCAGTGCAGGCCTGTCGTAATACCCAGCGCAGGAAGAAACGGGCTGGAAACGTGTCCAGGGCGCAGGGGTTTCCCAGAGCAGCTCCGCTGTCATGACAGCGCCCCGCTCTCCTGCTTCTGGGCAGCTGCACCCATGCTGTCCTGCTGGGTGGCACTGCAGCGTCCCTGGAAGTCCCTGCCCTTGAGGAGATTAGACAGGGTGTGGCCTTGCTTTGTGATGCGTCCCTGCAGGCCGAGCCCAGCGCCTGCTTTCCCACTGCGTTAGGGAGGCCCCTTTGCGCCTCCGCGGCTCTGAGGCTGGATGGGAGGAGCTGCCGGGGTTCTGTTCAGAGGCTCCTTCCTCTACAGCCTGTACCTTTTCATGTACTAGAAACTTCACAGTCCGAGAAAGAAGACAGAAGGAAGTTTACTTTGGCACAGCTTTTCGGGTGCTTCCCTCTTCCTCACTGAGGGCCAGGGGGGCTGGCTCGGCCGTCAGCCTGCTCTCTCACACCTGAAATAAGTTCTTGGGACGAGCCCCCGAGCTAGCGGTCAAAGGAGTGGGTCCCACGTGGTCAACCTCAGTGTGAATCCTGGCCCCAGCGGCTTGAAAAGCACTCCAGATGCCTGTGCGTGCCCAAAGTCCCTGCGGGAAGGAGAGCTGGAGGAGGAGGGGCTGCGGTACAGCCACGCCCCCCAGGGGTGCTTTCTCCCTCTCCCTCTCTCCCTGTCTCTCTCTCTGGCAAGTGCATGTGCTCTCTGACAATTAAGGATAAATAAATAAAAATGGGGCCTGCAGGCGGCCTGGTGGTTAAAGCGCTGGACTTCCACAAGGCTGACCGTTGTTTGAGTCCTGAACCCTGCAGCTTGAAAATCACACTGGGTACCTGTGCATGCAGGGCCGAAGTCTCCAGCGGACAATGGAGAAGGGAGTGGGGTGTGGCCATCCCCCCCAAGAGAGATTTCTCACTTCACCTCTCTGTCCGTTTCTCTCTAGCAAGCACACATGCCCTGTGCCAAAAAAAAAACAAAAAACAAAAAACAAAAAACAAAAAACAAAAAACAAAAAAAAACTTAAGTAAATCACCTATAGCAGCTATTTAATGCCATCTGAACTAGCAGAAACTGAAGACGAGTGTGATGGTAAGTTACTTGATTCAGCATGTTGTTTCGATGTGTGGACATCAAGTGCAAACCAGCAATTGGCTATTTAAAATGAAGTGATGTTCCCATGACACCTGCGATGGTAAAAATACAAATTCGGGCCAGCAGGTGGTGTGGTGGTTCAGGTGCTGGATTCCCACAGTTCGAGTCCCAGACCTGGTGGCTTGAAAATCACAATAAGCATATGTGTGTGCACGCCCAAAATCCCGAGAGGGGGACGGGGGAGAAGGGACTGTGGAGTGGCCATCCCCCCTGCGGGGTGATTTCTCATTTTCCCTCTCTTTGTCTCTCACCGGCAAGCACACACCTATGGCAAAAACCTAAAAACTAAATGACCCATTCTGACCCAACCACAGTCGGCGTGCTGAACACTGCTGCTCGCTAGGCCAAAGCCACATGGGAGGTCCAGCTGGCTTTCGGCTCACCCTGAAATACTGAGGCCAGGGGTGTATGCTTGTCGTCCCAGGCCCTGGGGCGGGGATTGCTGAGGCAAGCGGATTGCAGCAAGGCAGCCCTGTCTAACATGCACTCCCCACACACCCCATGCCTGCACACACACAGAAAATCCGAGCAGCTCTCTCCACTGGTTGCACTCCCTCCCTGCCCCGTCCCACCTGTGGAGTTTCTGCAGTAATCCTGTTGCTTCTCTAACTAGCCGATTGGTTCGATTGGTTCCGTGCGGGTGGAGCAGGCGACAGGTGGGCCCTGGGGTGTCTGGCTGGCCGCCACGCTGCTGACGTTCTGTCTCTCTTCGTTTTGCATGCCACCGCGCCTGCCCTCACAGCCACAGTAGAAGCGGTAGAGGCCCAGGAAGGTATGGCCACAGTACTCGTAGCTGTGATCACGTGTCTGTCACTAGTGCTGACCAGCTTTCAGATCTTTTATCGTTGCATCACCAGAACTGATGGTGGGAAGAGCATCGCTGGTTCGAGGCCAGTGCCCAGTGCACGCGCTGCTCGTGCCCGCAATCCGGTCGATCTCGGTGACCTCCACAGCCCGAGTCCTTTCTGGGCTCTGCCAGTTTTCTGCGAGGGCTGAAGCCTAAGCAACTGGTTTAACCCTAACCCTTGCCCTAAGCAAAAGAGCCTATGTGATTATCCGAGATGCAGAGGGGCCAGCTCCCTGCTTACGGACGGAAGGGCACCGAGAGCAGAGGCGCAGCAGGCTGGCCTGTAGCCTGGCTCGTTTTTGGAGGTTGCCCCAAGGCAGTCGAGCTAAACTACCTTGGTTTCTGTGGAAGCATATTCTGAGTAACACCAGCTATGACTGGGGTGGAGACCACCGCGTCCTACGTCCCATTACTGCATTAGGTACGGTGTTTGAGTGGAATTTAACCTCTCCTTGGTGAACAGAGGACGCGCTCTGGAAACCATTTTGATGAAGTAAAGATCAATTCCTGGTTGTGCAACATAAAAATCTGTCCTGAACCGAAAGATTCGTTCTTGCGTAACTTTTTGTAGTCTCCGCGGTCACTGCTCTCTGCTCACTGCAGCTGCTCCGTCTGTCGCCTGCCCTGCCATTCAGTGTCGCCTTTTCTTCCTGGCATTCTGCACGCTTCGGTCCCTGAGAATCCTTTCCCCAGTGTACAGGTCCTCGGTGGATGGGCGTTAAGAACGTGCCAGCTTCCCGCCGGGTTTCTCCTCGAGCTTTTACGGAAACTCCTTTCCCCGCTTGAGTTACCCTCGGGCCTGAAGGAAGCGGTAACTTCAGAAAGGCAGGCTCGGTCCAGTGCTGCTGTTGCCCTCGCCAGAACGTGCCTGCTCGCTGCCGCATTTCTCAGGAGCTGGCCGTGTGCTAAGGGCCGGGTTAGGCAAGCGGCTTTGCTAACCGAGCACTCCCCACCCCCTCTCCTGTTTTTCTGTAGCCATCCGAGGGTTTTCACATCAGCACAAGATCCGGAGTTTTGAAGAAGCCCGAGGTCTGGACCGAATTAATGAGCGAATGCCACCCCGAAAGGACAGCACACACCTTGTGGGGCCAGTGAAGCCGGGAACCCCTGTCAGCCCCCACGCCGTGCCCAGGAACAGCCCCGGGAAGAAAGCCCCGTGATGGCTCAGAGTCGCGCCACACCACGGTGGGCCCAGAACTTACGAACGTTTATTTATTTATTATTGGAAACTGAGACAAAACAGCCAAACCTGGAGGTGCATTCCCAGTGCAGTCTGCATTTGTTCTGTAAGAAGGTGACTGTTTTCTAAGTTCTTCTAGTTTATGTCCAATATATATAAGAAAGGCATATCTGTTTTGTTTTTCCCTCTCCCCCTACTTTTTAAGAACCAATCTGGTTGTCAATACATTTGTGAAGTCTTATGCTACAAAGGGGATCTTCCCCAATAAAAGGGCCTTGGAAACCTCAGGTCTGGGTTCCTGACTTGAACTAGTCAGCCTTTATTCACCTTTTTGAAGGTAGTATCTTTCATTTCAGAGAGAGAACTTTTCCGGACCAGCAGATGGCGGAACATTTACATTGTTAGACTCCCATGTAGTCAACTGTGGTTGGAGTCCCCAACCCAGGGCTTAAAGCTCACTCGAGACTCCTGTGTGTGTGTGCCCAAGATCCCAAGAGGAGAATGGAGGAGAAGGGGTGTGGCATAGCCATCTCCCCTGAGGGACTGGCTTTCTGGCTGTCTCTATATATCGGGCACATGTGCCCTATAGCAAAAATCTCTCTCTGGGGCTGGCAGATGGTGTGGTGGTTAAGAGCACTGGACTCCCATGTGGCCAACTGCAGTTCGAGTCCCATACCTGGTAGCTTGCTTTCTCATTTTTTTCTCTCTCTAGCACTCTGTCCCTCTCTGGTCAAATTTAAATAAATAGATAACATTAAATAAAACAATTCTAAACAAACAAACAAACAAAAACAAACAAACAAAAACCTCTGTCTTAAAAAAAAAAAAGAGTAATAACTTCTCAAACACACTAGGGTTCTTTTTCTTTCTGCTGGGTGCCAGTGAAAAACCTCTAAGGTTTTGGTGGCTGAAACTGCTCTTCATTTAATGAAAAACTTGATTAAAGTAGAACTTCTAGGTAAATCACCCATCCCCAGTGATTCTAAGGAAAGGCCAAGGGGAGCATTTTCTATTAAAACCTACTTTCTTCTGGACCCTCAATTCCTTTTAATGTGTTTCAGGAAAGCAAAATTTAAAAATAAGGGGATTTGTTTTACAGTTACCCGAGGGTCTCTGTGCGCTGGGTAAAACTGTGAGAGAAGGAAGAGAAAGTCTAGAGCAGCCGCCTGAGTGCCGCTCCTTCATACGCAAAGGGTCCATCCGAGACAGCTTAGCTCCCCCGTCCCTCAATCTGAGACTTACACGTGCGCCTGCCTTTGCAAACCTTAGCCATGAAAATCAGTTCACGTGACAGAGCGTGGAGCTGGGCATCCCTTGTTGGCCTGCTCCTTTTCAGTAAGACTGTCATGCACGCGCAGCCAGGTAGAAAGCACTCTTAAGAGCCTCTGTCAGCAGCAGCAAAACATTGTTGCAAATCCTTATAAGCAGAAATAATACTTCACTATTTTTTTAATATTTAATTTATTATTATCATTTTCATTTTTTTTAAGAATTATTTTATTTAGCTTTATTTATTTATTTATTTTTAATTTCACCAGAGGGGAACAGAGAGAGAGAGAAAGTGAGAAACCAAGCCACCAGGTCCGGGACTTGAACCATGATTGGCCACATGGGAGTCCAGCATCCTTAACCACCACACCACCTGCCAGCCTCCATCATTTTCAGTTTGACCGGAGAGACACAGAGAGAGAGAGAGAAGTGAGAAAGCAAGCCACCAGGTCTGGGACTTGAACCACGGTCAGCCATGTGGGAGTCCAGCATCTTAACCACCACGCCACCTGCTGGCCCCAATATTTCACTACTAAAGAGGAATGTCTTCATGTCCTTTTATCTATATTCTCATTGCGTTTTTAAGTTCTAACATGAACAGCTGCAATTTACTGAAATAAGTTTTTCCCAACAGCAAAGATTTGCTTTCACCTTATAACTTAGAGATGATTTCCTGCCAGTGCCCAGAATAAAAAAAGAAAGACCCTTATTGCATGCATCGGCAGAACATTACTTAATGTCATGGGGCAAAGGTGGGAATTCTTTTTTTTTTTTAGGAATATTTTAATGTATTTTTATTATTTAATTTCTATGGGGCATATGCTCTCACCAGAGAGAGAGAGAGAGACAGAGAGGGAAAGTGAGAAAGCAAGCCACCTGGTCTGGTACTTGAACCGCAGTCAGCCATGTGGGAGTCCAGCGCCTTAACCACCATGCTACCTGCTGGTCCCAGGCTGGGGTTTCTTAAATCTGGAAAACTTTGGGGCCTGTCTGCCTTGGCGGACGCTGCACCTCAGATCCTTTTCTGTGCAGCTGGCTTTATAACACACAGTTTGAGGGCTGGCCTAGGTGCAGGTCCTGACCCCAGCAGCCTGGAGAACACGCTGGGCACGTGTGCCCCAAATCTTGACAGGATAAACGGAAGAGAAGGGACTGCAGCATGCCATACCCTGGGGGGTGCTTTCGTGTTTCCTCTGTCTCTGAATATGCACCCTCCAGCAAATACAGTCAAAATCAAAACAAAACACCCCGTGTGAGCAGCTGTAAGATAGCGCCTGCCGAGCCTCTGTGAGGTCCCGATGCTTGCTGTCCTCCTCAGCCTCTGGGACCAGCAGTTAGCATAATGGCTATGTCGCTGGATTCCCACGTAGGCAGCCGTGGTTCGATTCCTGGACCGGGTGGCTTAGACTCACGCTAGGCGCGTGTGCGTGCGTGCCCAAGGTCCCGAGAGGAGAATGGAGGAGAAGGGATTGCGGCGTGACCATCCCCCCTGGAGGGTGATTTCTCTCTTTCTGTCTCTATGTCTCTCTCTGTCTGTCGAGCGCACACGCCCTATAGCAAAAACCTCTCCAAAAAAAGAAAAGAAAGAAAGGAAGAAATCTGCTCTCTCGACCCCCTTATTTTATGTCACTGTTGTAGATGATCTCCAGAATTTTCAACTGTACCAAACCTATAAATATAAAATTCAAGCTATTGAAAAGGTTTTTTTAAAGAATTATTTTATTGACATTATTTATTTATTCATTTTAATTTGATCAGAGAGACAAAAAGAGAGAGAGACAAAGTGAGAAAGCAAGCCACCAGGTCTGGGACTCGAACCGCAGTTGACCTGGTGGGAGTCCAGTGCCCCCAACCACCACGCCACCTGCCGGCCCCGAGAAACAAGTTTCTCCTGACCAAATCTGGGTGACCAATCAGCTAAACTGATTTCTGAGGAGATTACCCCAATGGACTGACCCACAGTTTGTCGTTGCATTAATTACCGGCTTTTCTCTCTGACCTTCATATGAAAATTATTTCTGAACCTGCGAAGGCTTACTGAGGTGAGCCTAGAACCCCCAACAGCGATTCTAGTCGTTATGGTAACGGTGGAACCCAAGGTTCTTCCAAAGCGTTATGTGGTGCCCCTGGCCATGGCAGGAAGGATGCGTAGGGAAGGCGGGTGACCGCAGAGCCTCGGTCGTGGGTATGACACTCCCATTTCCTGAGTCCTGGCGGGCTCGGGGTCCGTCATGCCTGGCACCCGGCCCACATCTTTTCCAACATCTGCTAAGGGGACAAAGGGCAGCCGGGGAAGGCCAACTGAAGAGGGTCTGGGTTCTGTGGAGGACAGTTCCGAAGCACCGTATTGCCACGTGGCTGCGACCCGGCGCTGGCTCTGGCTTGTAGGAACGCGGCGAGGGACGAGCAGGGAGTCACAGGACAGATCCACTCTTACCTGGAGAGCTCAGAGGACACGTTCACAAAAGGGCTTTGTGCCATTGACAGGGTGTGGAGGAGGGAGCCTGCATTACCCTGGGACCTGGGGACTCGGACCTGCCCTGCCTCTGTCTAGCCGGCCGGAGTGAGTGGGGTCAGTGTTAGCGCCCGCATCTATGCAGTCACAAAGGTAAAGATGACACTGCAGGCATATTCCCTCCCGGGAGGCCTTGGCCTCAGGCCCTGGCAACCTTGGTGAGACTTGCTAAATAACACCTTTGTCTGAGACGGGTTATGCACCTTCCCTCCTCCACACCCTCATGCAAGTCTAGGCGGCTTAAGATCAAGAAGCGAGGCCATGGACCGTCCCTCCGAGCAGCTCTGAAGTAGGGCCTGCGCTGTCATCCTGTAAGTGCCTGCCCGGCCCTCCACTCCCCCACGGGCCGTCCCACACCTTTCCCACAGGTTCTAGTGAAAGGCACATACCTGCCGTGGACTTTGATTCGAGGCAGCAAGCTGCGTTTCTACCTGTCGCCAAACTGCTCCAAGGTTCCCCGCCGCCTCACTCCTGCAGCCTGGAGTCTCTATTCCTGATAGGCCCGTCAGCAGAGGGTTTCCAAGAAGGGATCCCGTTCTGCTCCCGAGGGGGTGAGGTCGTCAGGCACAGGAGGCTGGCTAGCGTTGGCATTACAGGTTATTGACTTGTGCTTAGAGATCACGTGCTTTTTTCTTGTTTTCAATTACATTAAAGAAAACAGTGGAGGGACCAGCAGTTAACATAATGGCTATGTCGCTGGACTCCCACGTAGTCGACCACGGTTCGTGTCCCAGACCCGGTGGCTTAAAACTCACGCTGGGCACGTGTGTGTGTGTGTGCCCAAGATCCTGAGAGGAGAATGGAGGAGAAGGGATTGCGGCGTGACCATCTGCCCTGAAGGGGTGATTTCTCGCTTTCTGTCTCTCTGTCTCTCTCTGTCTGATGAGCTCACGCGCCCTAAAAAAAAGAAAATGTATAAAGAGAACAGTGGAAATGTCACTTAGCAGCTGAATCGAGTAAGCCTTTCGTGGATGAGAAATTAGTTTGTTAGAACTTGAACTGTAAATTGGAAGCCATCTTTTAGATACCAGAGAGAAGAAACACTCTTAAAAATCTACTGGTGACTTTTCCCCACCCGCGTCTGTGTTTCCTGTCCCTCCTGGTGGGCACTGCTGTTCGGCTGTCACCGTTTAATAATTCCAGCAGGCCAAGGAAGATCTGGCTTCTAACAGCAGCTCAGGGCTCTGCGAATGCCAGAGCCCCTCTCAGGGACTCTCACAAAGATCGGGCTTTTCTCCGTCTCTCTGCCTTTGGTTTTAGGGTGACTTTAGTGGCTTCATGGTGTTTTCTGATCTTCCCCACTCAGGACCCACTGCCTTGCCCCGGCCACCTGCCCAGCATCGTGCCCACCACTAACTCTGCTCCCAGTTCCCTCTGCGACTTCCCCAGTAGAGGCCGCTACCCCCAGAATACGCGCAGTCTAATGAAAGGTAGAAGCAATTTCTGTCATAATCACTCCGACCGATCCTGGTGAGACGCCGGTGAGCTCCAGCTCAGGAGGAGCCGACTGTGGAGTTGGGTTGCTGCGAGCAGGAGGGGCCGGCCTGGCCTCTGGCTCCTGCAGTGTAGCTGTGTCCTGAGGAGCTGTGGGCCAGGTGCACAGCAGAGACCGCCCCCGCCAGTGGGAGTGGGGAGGAAGCGGGGAGGGCGCCCGCAGGCCATGGTGCAGCACGGAAAAGGTGACCGCAGGACCTCTGGGCCCAATGTGGCGGTTCCGGCAATGTGGCCGCATGGGGCCATGGTGCCCTTCTCAGGCTGGAAAACGAGCCCCGATGTCTCATTCCAAGTAAGCCAAGTGTGCACTTCGGGTTCCTTGTTACCCCAGTGGTGTCCTGAGTTAGCAATGCCTTCATACCTTAGCTAAACCTTCAGTAAAATAAGACAGGACTTGCCCTTCTCAGTTATGAGGGTGCGTGCACCCACCAGAGAGACAAGAAGGACAGGGAGAAGGCACCCCACGGTGGGGCATGGTCACATTCAACCCTTTCCCCTCCCGTTTTTTTTCTTTTTTAAGAGGTTTTTGCCTTAGAATTCATGCACTTGCTGGAAAAAGAGACACAGACAGTAAGAGGGAAACTGAGAAATCACCTCCTGGGGGGATGGCCATGCTACAATCCCTTCTCCATCCTCCTCCCGGGATCTTGGGCACACACACACACATGCGCCTGGTGTGATTTTCAAGCTGCTGGGTCCAGGACTTGAACCATGGCCGGCCATGTGGGAGTCCAGCAACATAACCACTACACTATCTGTTAGGCCGTCCTCCCGTTTTTTCTACCTTGTCAGGATTTGGGGCATACAGAAACTTGTGCCTGGTGTGTTTTTCAAGCTACTGGGTCCAGGACTTGAACTGTTTGGTCAGCCATGTGCGATGCAGCTGTCTTAACTACCAGGTCATGGAGCTGGCCCGTTGGAAGTTTTTTGAAAGCCTGGAAAGGAAGGACTCAAGTCCAACTCATACTGGCCTCCCCGTCCCCGGGCCCACCCTGCTTCGCTGCCTGCTGTCTGCAACTGTGTGGGCTCTGTTCTTCTGTTGTAAATCACCATGTTCAGGTTTTAGGGAGAAAATCGACTTAACTTTGGTAACAATGGATTGCTAATTCAGCGGCAGATTACGTGGTCTTGTAGTGGTCATGTGGCTGAGGCAAAGGTTCATCCAGCATCCAAGGAGGTGGGAAGACGAGGTTATTGCTCGAGGAGGCTGGAGGCCAGCAGGGCAGCCCTCTCACCTTTCTTGTCTCGGCTTACCTGAGCCGGGGAAGAGGTCGGTGCGGACCCGGTTCCCCGGTTCCTGGTTCTGTGCCCGTGGCCAAGTGGAGTTGGCGTGGCCTCCCCTCAGAGATCACCACTTACTTAGCCTGCCCTTCCCACAGCTCCGTTCTGGAAAGCTGGCCGCCGCTGGCTCTCGTCCCCTTTTCTGAGAACAGAGAGGTTCGTCCCACTCAGTCCTCAGACACCCGCTGCACGCCGTGCCTGTCGGCTCAGCCGAGACAAGGAGAGAGCTGCGGTCATGGCAGTGCAGAGGCTTCCCTGAGGCCGGGCCGGGTCAGTGGCGAAAGCCTGAGTTCCCGCGCAGCCCTCGGGGCGGGCATGGAGGCGCTGGGCTCCGAGCCTCTGGAGAGATGCCCGTTCCATCACGGGCGTGCTGTGGGCAGATGTGTGCAAGGAGGGCCTGAAAGCCTTGGCCTCCAGTCCCCAAGTTCCACATCACCAGCCTGGCTGCCAGGCCCAGCGCAGCACAGACCACCTGTCCTGGACCGCTCTTACCTCACAGAGAACCTTCACTTCCCAGTGCCTTCACTTCCCAGTGACGATGCTAGAAGTTCGACTGCAGGTGGTCCAGGCCATGCCGTTGCCACGGGGCCCAGGAAGCCCTGGCGCGGCTCTCTCCTCTCCATGCTCCTGTTCCCATGGCGAGCGCATGGCAAGGGCCATCGGTAGAACCTGGCTATAGCATGGGCAGGAGCTGGAATCGGGAGAGGAGCCCAGGGAGGAAGCGGTAGGTTCACTCCACGCCGCCTTGTCCGCGGTGCCTCGCTTCCAGCTCCCTGCTGTTGTCACTGTGCTCTCCTCTAGAAAAGTCACACTGCTGGAAGGGACAGCGTGTCCTTGGTCATTCTCTGACCTGCTTGCTCAGTTCCCCTGGCAGGAAGACACCACCCTCCTAAGAGCACAAATAACAAGTCTCCTGAGAGCTTGAAGAATGTCCAGAGGTCATCCCTGGGGATGAGAAGAGAGGGTAGCAGATACCCCTGGGCTTAGCCAGAGCTGGGGCCACCGGGCTGTCAGGGTGGGCCGCGGTGTGACTCCCAGCACCACACCAGACTCTCCTTAGGAAGTGAGGATCTGGCTTTTGGCTTCTGGGATCCCTGGCTTCCTGTTTCCCGCTTGGGAAATAAAACTGAGCTCTGCCTGCCGACCCAGCCAGCCTTTCCTGGTAGGACAGAGAGCTGCATGAGGCTCTTAACGTCATCCCTCTCCTGGCCGCAGGCTGGCTCTCCCGTGGCCTGCCTCCCACCTCCTCCCCCTCCGTGTGAAGAGCCACAGCGTTTGCTGGTCCTCACTCCTGATCCAATCCGCCCTGGGGGTGTGGGTGTGGACGGGATGCTGTTGGGCAGTAGCCAGAGAACAAAAGGTGGCAGCCCGGGTGGGGGTTCTGGGCCCGGATCGGATCGGATAGCTGGGCAAACAGCCGTTATGTAAGCGTGTTTACCGTGGCCTGGCGGCTGGGCGGCTCTGGGAAGGCAGTGCAGCCACCAGACGGACAGAAGGTGGTG